ATTTCTCTGGACTGGCAAAGTTTCATAAAATATTATCAGACACAAAAAAGTTTTGCATCAAAGAATTTTGGCAGGTATTTGGAAAGTTTTTGTTTTTAACACGTTTTTATTAACTCGCTTTCTTGTCCATTTGTTTGTCTGGATCAAATTTTGCAACTCAAATTTGGCTCACTTCCCGACTAGCTAGCAAGCTTCGTGGTTTTTTAGATTAATTTTTTAATCTACTAAATTTTTTATGCAAAAATAATGCTAAGAAAAAATGGAGCAGCTGTAGCAAAATGCTTTCAAAAGGTGAGTTTGAAGAAAGAATGCAAAATTAAAATAATTTATTTCAGCATGCAGGTGAACGTTTTTCTGAAGTGTTATTAGGAGAAAAGCCAACTTTTATTTATCATCAGATAATTTCAACTGCCAATGTATTTCCAAATTTTCAGACAAGGCTAACTGACTTCATCTGTTTAATAAATTGTATTATGTTGAAGAAAATTTCATGTCCTGTTTTATTCAATGCAGCATTTGCTGTCATGATTTTTCCCCTTCTAAATAATTCCATTAATCACACAAGTCTCTTTTTTTTATATGCATAGAGAAGCGAATAAATGCAGGGAACATGCGAAATTTCCAACAGTGACCCAAATTTTAGGAAAGATCCGTTTTTTAATTTTCTCCTGACCCGTCAAACCCTGGGATTTCTCATTCTCCCCACGCCGCAGGTGTGACAGCTGGGAAATGTCAGGTGCCACACATTCCTAAATCTGTCCAAGTATAACATGAAACAGAAAGGGTTCACACAAAAAAATAAAATGAATGCTGTCCACATAAACGAGGAAGAATTCGCATCCGAATGAGACGAATCAATTTATCTTCATCTTGTAGGTTTTCATGAGGAAACAAGTGGCTTTTCAAAAACAAAGGTATCATTTCCAGGTCTGAATGCCATAGATGCATCAGGAATCCATTTGCTCAGTGAATAGAGGTATTATATAAAGCACAATTTCCTGCCTCAAATTGAATTTGCAAGAGAAACACATAGTCTTTGAGAAGTTAATAATATAATACAAAATGATTCCATATGTCTACAGTTCTGAGATCTCTCCTTTGATTTGCATTGAAATTATTTTGCGTGCTTTAATGACAACACTCTTGTTTCTATTTATAAAATTTATTTGATTGATTGATACACAAGCTTTATTTGCTGCTTTTCAGTGTACAAAAGGTCCACAATATTTTCTCACATCCCACACACATCCATCCAACACATTTCAGTCTACCAAAACTTGATTCACTATTAGATAGATATTACAAGAAAATGCATAACATTACAGGAAAATTCATGAATATTGAATTGCCATAATTTTTTCCAAGAATGAAGAAAATCACTTTACAATGCAATTACTGAACACCCATGAAAGCACAACATTTTCAGCATTTCTCTGATGAATTCAATTTGTTAACAATATAGAAATTATCTTGGAGGAGAAATCATGTAAAGCTAACAACTTTCCTGGTCCTCAAAATAGGAGATCTTTTCTAAATGCTAGATGTAAAAAAAGATACATGTTTAAAATCAAGTTGTGAGTATTCTAAGAATTTTAGAAGTTCCATTCTTCTGGTTTGGAATGCTGGGCATAAGAACAGATCTGGATTTCTACCATAAAATGATAAACAGTATCTTGATTATTGGTAAACATGGTGTAATCTTTGAAATTTCAGCTGGTCAGCAGTTTTGTTTTGTTCAATTTTAGAGTCCTGCTATTTCTCATCATCATGAAGGAAAACTAAAAATCTCAAGATTTGATCATTTTTTGACAGGAAATAATTTAAAATGGGGGCATTGACAAATTCAAGAAGTTATTGCTTATAATGGCAAATTTTTAAAGTTCTTATGCTGTGATAAAATGATATGACTGGGTGTTGAGAATGATTCTTTTGCAAACACACTGTAGATGGGTTGCTGGGGATACAAAAAGATGGTGCTAAATTGCATGCGAGGTTCTCTTCCTTCATCCACAAGCGCTCATTATTTGCTTTCTCCTATTTTCTCTCCGCAGTGGCAACACAGAGTAATGTGTTTGATCAAACCAGCAGCAGTGTTTATTTTTCCTTATTACATTCCCCCTGCGTCTCCCTTTTCTGTACCTTTATTTTTTTTTTATCTGTCAACCCAGAATTGCTTGGCAACACTGCTGCTCCACAGTAATGTCAGGAACTTGGTACTCTAATCATATTTGACCAAACAAACATGTATTTCTTCAGGAACCTCAGACATATTGTTTGAAATATGTCAGGTGCTTGTTCTGCATGATAAATGAAGCTTTTATTTTAAAATTTAACTATAAAAAGCTCTTCTCAAATCTCAAAGAAAATGTAATATTTTGATGATTGTGGTTATATCTGATTAATTTACCACTGGTTTCTGTTAGCTTATTCTATCAAGTGTCTTAATTGTGAGAGGTGAGCATGAAGCTTTTGAATCACTGATGCAGAAAAATATTTCCATATGTTTTGTTCCCATGAAATATGGTTTTGGAAAATGCTTTTCTGCCTCCTCAAGCGTTATATTATAAGGAGAAACCTGTTGCATGGGTGTTTGCAGATTCAAAGGAGAGGAAATTGGATCCAAGTCACCTTCTTTTCTGCCTGTTACCTCTGTGCCAGGGTTTTGATTGAGGCCCTGCATTTTTCATGCTGTCTTCCTGAGAGTCTCTATGCTTGTGGCTCTATATGGATTCTCTTCCATATACTGTACTGTGTATATATGTCTGCCTCACTGCTCCATTTCCTTATATATTTATAGCTACAGGTGGAAACTGCTGGGATATAAAGAAGATATTTTCTTTTCTCTTTTATCTCACGCTCTGTCCCTCAGGTTTCCATTTTCCATAGCAAGTATACATGTTTCTGGCTGTGAAGTTAAATTTTTGGGTTATGATGGACCAATTACAGTACTTCATGTGCTTATAGATATTGGAATATACTGTATTTTATCATGATGTGACAGAATCATCATTTAGCACTATGTATATGTGCTTTGAAGAACTTTTCATGACCTTCTGGTCACATATTGTGCAAGCAAAGTTATCTTTGAGTCAGGATATACCCCGCAGGAAAAATTGGAATTCCTCACGAAAAAGAAGTTTGGTATCTGCAATTTCAGTTTAAAACTGTACATTGAACTGTTTACATGCACATGTAACTGTGTATCAGGGTTCAACTGTGAAGCCGAATAACTCAAACTTTCCTGAGTCAAATAACCATGATGCATTTTTTTCATTTCCCAGAAGCATTACTGGTTTAGGAAGTGTAGAAAAATTGAAGAAAATTGTAAATGGCGATATTCTGGTCTTTAAATTGCAATTGCTTCTTAAATGAGTTGTCAGCATGCTAGACTTTGAGTCAGAGGTTCATTTGCTGAGTTAGTCTTACAATTCCTTTCAAAACACATCAAGTTACTTTCTCTTGCTTTTCTCTTTCCTGCTGTACCAAGGAAAAAAAATAGCCAAGAGGCTTTTGAAATTTGAGGTTTGAGAGGAAAAGCTTTTGAGTTAGGAAGGTTTTTAACTTAAGGATATTTGGCTTATTAGGGTGCAACTGTAGCATAGAATATACATGAGATTTTTGCGCAAATTGGGTCAAGTAAAAGAGTGGAACCATTTCTTGAAGTTTCACTTCAACCTTTCAATGTAAGCACACAATTCCAAGGTCATCAGGTCGAGTGATTTTAAAAATTTTTAAAGAGATTATCCCAGTTATTGAGATGCTCTTTGCTTTTGGAGGACATTCAAATAAAACCAAACAACTACATGTAAATTCAGAAATATAATTCTTACAATTCATCCTGGAGCATGGGCATTGGATTTTTGGGAATAATTAAGCAATGTCCAAAGAAAAATGCCTCAATTTCTCTGGTTTAGACCTATTTTTCATTCAGGACAGAAAATATTTTGTGACACTAAGTGAGGATTCCCTTATGAACAAAATGGAGGGGGGTTTGTTCCAGGGAAATTTGTGGCACTATGCAAGGGGAACATTAAATTGGGGGTTGACTGTATGCATATATTTTCCCTAAAACTTGGTATTTTTCTTCTGATGTTATTTACCTTTTTCCTGGATGAAAATTGTGCAATTGTGTTGCAAATGTCTTGTCAGTCATGTACTTTTGAAGCCTTACTGAATGCATGGAGGGTAAATACTTGTTACTGAAAAACAAATACAAATTTTTCTTGGCATTCATTTTAGCACCTTCAATTAGGGGATTCTAATTATTGAATGCTTCAAGTGGAACAACTTTGTTTTGTGCCACAGGTGGTGCTTTATTCTTTTCTTTGGGCCAATTTTTTTATGTCATGATGCCAGATATTGGTTTTATCAGCAATGGGCTTTGATGAGAAATATATTTTGCACAATTGAAGGTATTGCAAAAACCAAAGCTCTGAGCAACATTTTATTCAAAACAACAAATGTAGAAAACTTAGCAATCTAAATTTTAAAAATTTGCAAAAATTAAAATCTCAAGTATTGGCTGAAATATTTGCTCTGGAAATTTGTGTGGGAAATTGCATAATGCGCAAAATATTACTGTATCTTGGATTTTTCCTGGTTTTCAGGACTTGCTTTGAGTGGAAAAATCCTGTGAATATCTTATGCATATTTTGGGGTGTATATATAAGGCTTGTGCAATGGGAGGAAAAATCAATCTCATTAAAAACTTCATTGGAGAATATTGTCCTTTCCTTTTCCTTGTGTCTTATAACTTATATCTCATGCATTGTTTAGAGAACCTTCTGCACTTATACTGCCAGGCCCCCCCCCCCCAATTTTTGATATTTAAAAACACCCATTAATAAATTTAAAAAAATTGTGGGTTACAAATACTGCACATTTTCATGCAGTGATGATCAATCAATTTCTGAGAACCGCTCATTTTTTGTCTTTTTGCTCATTCATATACAGAGTGCTGAAATGACTCTATTCTGAACTCCATCATCAGTGCAAAACTTTTATGTGCCCTGTACCTGGATAACAGCATTCTCCCCAGGGGTGTAGACTGCATTCCCCTTGGGCTTCTTCCGTCCCACGTAGTTGACCAGGACGAATTCCAGCAGGGACGCGTAGATGAAGAACATGCACACGGCGTCCCAGACATTCATGGCACCCAGTCTGGCCACGACCGGAAGCGAGGTCCTGAACCCGTTGCTGGTGGTGAAGAACGTGAGCAGGGTGGTGACCCCGATGACCACCCTGGCCGGTGCTGCTGACCACTCGAGCCAGAAGGTGATGAAGGAGCTGGTCACCAGGATGATGCCCGGGATGAACACGGTGGACAGGTAGAAGGACTTGTCCCTGGTGAACACCAGCTCCACCATCAGGCAGCTGTAGTTCCCTGATGACAAATGACAGACTATAAAAATACATCTTCCTGTGTAGATGAGTGTGCAAAAAAAAAGGGGGGAACAAATAAAAAGAAAGAAAATAAGTCTGGTTTATATAGTCTGGTCCTGTCAGATATGTACAAGGCTTGGTTCATAAGTTAGGAGACTTTTTCAAATAGATCCAATAGAATTTCCAAAATCCAAAAAAAGTTGTTTAAAACTCCCAATTAAGGCCCCCGATTGTTAGGAACTAGGAAGTTGAAGTCAAATGAGTAAGCTTTTGATATCTTGGACTGGAATTTCAGAAATTAAGAAAACAATGAATGAATGAATGAATGAACAGAACACTTTATTTGCTGCTTTTCAGCGTTCACAAGGTTCAATCAAGACTCCCACAACCAAACCCCCTTCCCACCCAAACCAAATCCACTCAATGACATTTTAATCACTTCAGAGCAGGAAAGCACAAATTGATAATAAACAAATAACAAATAAAAGAAAATACTGTACAATACAACATGAAATACAACTGGACATCTGACATGTATACATACAGTATACATGGTTGGGTTATAAGAAAACAACAATCAGCCGGGCTGCAGCCCGGGTGCTTTACACGCTAGTGTAAGGTTGGTATATTTAGTTTTTAGAAACACAGAATTTTGAAGACAGCAATTCAACAAGACAACAGAACTCAAGAGTCTTTTGCATGAGACTGACTCAGAGCAACTGATGATGATACGTAAAATGTATTTGGTATTTAAACTATTTTTCTTTGCAAAATTTTGTCCCTGAACAGTATTATCCCTTTTTCAGGGTTTCCCCAAGAATCCAAACTCTTGTGGGAACTCAAGGTCAAACTTGGTCTCACAGGATTCCTAATGGATTTAGTATTGCTAGTGGTGTCATTCTAATCTGTCTAGGATTCTATTACCGTTTTCTAATTTTTGACACCCCAGTATTTGGCCTCACTTCAGTTCTGTTCAACACACACTCCACCAATTTCTACGCAGTTTTTCATGCAGTAAAGCCAATGATAAAAACAGTTACCAAAAATTGAGTTCTGTGATTTGATTATAGGCACCCTTGCAGGGACGTCAGGCTGTTTTTGATACAGTGAAGCACAACATTAAATGGATTGATTTTGAGTAAAGGTGTTGGCAATAATTACGGAATGGTGCCAGAATGGCACTTTCAATAAAATACCTGACCAGAACTGAACCCAACTTTGGTTCCCAGGCTTTACAAGGACATTCTTGAAAACCAAGACACTTTCTTTCCTCAAGATGGATCAATTCAACATTAGAAATTAATCCTCAAATATTTCTTCTTTTCTTTATTTCTCTTAAAAAATTAGTGGCAGGTTTTCCTTTTTAAGGTTTTAACTGAGCAGATCTCTAGAGAAAGGCCAGAAGCATCAGTTTTTTCCATGCAGATTTGATGGCATTTCTATATTGGCTAAATAGCAAATTATACAGTCCAACTCTGAACTGGGCCAATTTTATACTTTAACAATCCTGTCTGAAATTTGTGTGTGAAAAACAAAAAGATTGAACTAGGACTCATAAAGTCCCAACCAAAGACCAGCTGATTGAGTCTCATTAATTAGTTCATCTTCCAATGTCACATAACTGATCAACTTAATCAACCTTTCAGTACAAGCATCTTTACAAGACAGTACCATTCTCACACAGAAGGGACAGCCTCATTTCTGCCATCAAAGATCAGCTTAATCAACCAACAGAACTCAATTTCTGCACTGTGCTGATCCTTGGATTTATTGCATCAAAATTGTCAGAGAGTATGCTGAACAGCACTGAAGCAGTGTCAACAAAGGATGGAGCTATGTGAGTAAACATATTTTTCTTTTGAAGTGTTATAACTCCTATGATCAATTTCAAAAAGTCTCAAAACTTATGAACCAATCCTTGTTTTCCACAGGTTTCCAAACCAAGCAACCTTCTCACTTCTTTTTTTTTTTAATTTTTGTGCATTGTAACAAAATTCAGAAGTCAGAATGTATGACAAATTTTTAAAACTGTTTTGAGTAAAAACTTTCCTTCAAAAAAGCAGAAATTGAGCAGTAAAAAGTTAAAGTCATACCTCTCCAAGTGAGCTGCTCTTCACACTCACTGGTCCTGTTGCTGACCATGTATGCATTCAAGGTCGTCAACCTCTTGGATTTCTTCAGAGTGGTTCCTTGTGTTTCAGTGTCATTGACCCACTTGAAGATCATTTCATCCCTCTCATAGGAGACTGCCAAAATAGAACAAACATGCATCAGTAACTCTTGACACAATAATTACAAATTGCCTGAATTAATAAACAAGATTAATCTTGGAATTCACCCTCACAAATTATCAGTGATTTTAGAAATTATTATTTTCATGAAATTTTCTCATCATTTTTTGATTAATTTTTTAAAATGTTACATTATATCCACTCCAAAAAATGAAGTGATGTTTCCAGAACACAACCAAGACCCGCACAACAGACCTCCTGCGCAATGGATTTTTGCACAACAGAGCACTTCTGTAAGCAGTTTTCCCAATGATGCAATGGACTAAATCTGGATAACAGACTTCTTTTGATTTAAAACTGATGGCAAAAAGTAAAAATTTTGATTTTTATTAATTGACTTTGCACAGCAGACTTTTTACATAACAGACCGTAGTCTGTTGCAAAAATGAAGTCTGTTTTGTGGGGGTTGACTGTACCTAAAAGGAGCAAAGAATGCTTCTTGAAATCCATAATTTATTTTTAACTTTGTTTGTTCTGAGAGATTTTTCTTAAATTAATTTGGATGAACTCCTTGGCTGAGATTTTTATTTATTTTCGAAGGAGCCCAAAAAATATGGTGCTACTTTGTTATAGGATTTCATATGCAAACAAAATTTCTTCCCAAAATATACAAAATTCATAACAAATCTGGAAATTGTTTCAACTTAACCGAAATTTTAAGTAATTCAGAAATAATTTCGACGAACTCTTTCACCCAACTTTTTAAATATAGAAATTTTTGGGTTATTCATTCTATGAGAAAATACGATATGCAATTTTATGAAAAATATTCAAGACAACACTGATTAAATTAATAACGTCAAATGTAATTAAAAAACGATCAGAAGGCGGCCAAGAATTACAAATTTTGATGAAATTCTCAATACTCTAGAATTTAGTTTAAATCATAGAATATACCTCATCTTATCAAATAATTCCCGATGAACAAAAAGCGATTTTCAGTTTGCTCATCCTCACAAAAGCTCCTAAACTCAAATTTTCTGTCACCTCTAAATAATTTGAAGTCCTAAACGAGAAAAAAATGAGGTTACATCTATTCCGTCTAGATTCTAGAACTTAATCGAGCCTCTTTCTTTCTATTACAGTCGTTTGCTGATACCCAGAGTTTTGCTCCCCGAAAATAAGAAGAAAAAAAAAACCCCACGCGAACCCATGAAGAACAAGCTCTTGAGAAAACGGTCAGCTGACAATAATAAGAGGAACAAACGATGAGGGCCGGAAAAAAAATACGAAAGCCAAGGTCTTTTTCTTTCTCTCTTTTTTTGCTCTTGTGCAAATGGCAGAGCAAGCAAACGCGCAAATAAAGCACCACTCTTCCTGGAAAACATCCTTGAATGTTTGTTACCCCCTATAGTTCCCCTTTGAAGAGAGTCGTGGTGCTGTGGGATAAATAGACGACGAGTTTTCCCTTTTACCCTGAACTTGACTTGCTTCGTTGGCATTTGCTGAAACGTCTTCCTATTTCGGACCTCCCAATTTTCTGGCAAGACTTCAAAAATAAATAAATAAATCACTCCCTTTATTCAATTTATTTATTTTTATGTCGGTATAGTTGGGAGGGAAAAACGGAAGAAAACTCACTGCTTTCAATGGAAAAGATGCACAAGGGGTCATCGAATGGAAATACGTCTCCGTCTCCTTCGCAAGACAAGACCAAATGTTTCCTGCAGAAGAAAACAAATTCAGCATTATTGATTCATTAGTGCTTTTCTATAAATTCACGAGTCCCTTTGTAAAGCAACCGTAATCCGCCGTATTTAAAAATAAATGCATTTCGAATTGGTGCCTCGTAAACGATTTGTCCCGTGACGTTGGTTGAATCCAAATATAATTGTCTCTCATTGAAAATCATGTGATACTTGCATTGGAAAGAATTCTTTGGTGGGGGTTAAAAAAAAATAAATTCTGGGTTTTGGAACACTGATCTATAGATAACAGTGTTCCCAAAGGACAAATACATGGGCCCCAGACGCTTTATTTGCTGATTGTCTTCAGCATAATACATTATATCAAAAGTAGGAATGAATTATGTGATCTTCATCTGAAATTTTGGAGAGACAATGACATTTGAAATTATCTGATGAAAAAAGTTGGCTTTTCTCCTGATAATGCTTCAGAAAAAGGTTTACCTGCTGAAATGAATCATTTTAATTCTTCATTTGGATGAAAAGCTTACTTCAAGCCCACCTTTCTAATTTTTTGAGAACATTTGCACTGCAGCTGCTTCATTGGTTCTTAACTTAATTTCTGAAAAAAGGAAAAAATGTTTATATACCTGCCATAAAGCCATTCAAACAAAACTTTTTTGAGTCTGCACAAATTTTATGAAAAAAGCCAGTCCACAAACAATTTTATGGAAATTTGCCCATCTGCCAAAAATTTAATGGAAATTAGCTGTTCCACTGCCCAACCAACACTGTTCTATTTATAACAGTGTTCCTCAACCTGTGGTCTGCAGACCATCATTGGTCCTCATCCAGTCTGTAGGAAATTTTCTTTAGCATAATGAATTCAAAAAAGGAGCATTGGAGTTTGTTATCTACATCTGAAATTTTGAAAAGAAAGTGGCAGTTGAAATTGTGTGATGAAAAATAAAAGTTGGCTTTTCTCATGATGCTTCAGACAACATTCACAATAAGTTGAAATAATTTATTTTAATTATTTTCTTTTGAGAAACCTTTCTTCAAGTCCACCTTTCTAATTTTTGAAAACATTCCATCATATAGCACCTTCATTGGTTCTTAACTTTATTAAAAAAAAATGCAGAAAATGTTTAAATGCCCTCCATAAAATATTTCAATCAACAATTTTTTGAGCCTGCAAAAGTGTCATGAAACTTTGCAGGTCTGCATAATGTTTTTTTTTTGCTTGTGAGGAAATTTGCTGGTATCTGTGGGACTATAGAAAGGATTGGGCAACACTACTGATCCCGAGTATACAGTGTGAAAGGGGGAAGAAAGCAGTCACTCTTGGGGCAGCTGCCAGGCACTTTCCAGACGCGGTAATTCAAGGAGGCGCAATTCCCTTTCCCTCCATTCCCCAGAAGCCATCCACAACCAGTGACAGGAACCTGGAGCAGAACATAGCTTGGATTGCCTTGCTGGAAAATACCCTGGACCTGGCACACACCAGATTGCATCTCTCCAATCACTGGGTTCATCCTCAAGTTCTCTCTCACATGCAGCTGCACTCACACACACACACACACACTTCTACAATATTTGATGAACCCTGCAAAGACGAGTTATTTTTCTCTCTCCATCTTTCTCAGCAGTTGAGTGAAAAAAAAACTCTAGATAAATCCTATTTGTTTCTATTTTTGTATTCTGTCAGGTGGCAAAAAAAAACGGTTGGACTAAGATTTAATCCAATCTTGGTTGTTGATGAGGTGCGTGATGCGCAGTTCTTGATGGATGACGTCGGAAACCTTTTATCTTCTCTTACAGAATAGAACAGTCAGTTCATTAGGCTCAATACACGCAGTGGACCACACCAAAAATCAAGGAATTTCAGTTTGAATTGGATACAACTTTCCCAGAAATTTCGTACCAAAAATAGGTGGGATGAAAATATCAGGGACATAAACGAAATTTTGGACATGATAAAGCATCACACATAGACCTAATTGAAGTGAACATTTTAAATTTTGACATTATTCTTATCCAAAATATTGAGTTTTCCATATCTGAGATTTCTATGGCCAAATAAAAATAATATAAATATGCAGGTCGATTTTCTGTGCAGCGACCTTGTGTACAACAGTTTTCTCTTTATGACAAAATTTGTGAAGGCCCCATTAAAAGATTGTCTCTACATGTAACAAGTGGTACCTTGCAAATTGATCCAAATTGGCTGCCAAACTAGCTGGGGTTGAATTGCAAGACACTTTGTGAAAATAAAAAATATCCATACAAAAATTACGAAAAATGGGCCAAAGTCAGTCACATTGTTGGGCAAGGGTTGAATTTAAACTCAACATCCTTGCAAATTTGACCATCAAATTGTGGGGCAATTGAACTGCTGAAGGTCAAATTGCAAGGGACCACCTGCATGTACTGGGGTCATATGCAATAAAATTCTCTCTACCTCTTTTTTTGCTAAAATACAGGTAGCTTATCTCTACAACAAAATTGGAGGGACCAGAAAATTCATCTTGAAGATAATTTCTCTGCAGAGAGAGAGAGAGTTCACTTGCATTTTTAATGAAATACAGCAGAAAGTGTTTCACAAGGAAAGATGCCAAGTTTTTCAGGTAAAATTGTAATAATAGGTTCTTAATAAAATACATTTATTTTATGTCAAATACAATTTTTGACTGCTGTCAGCAGCGTATATATTGATTTATTATGACTCTCCACAAAACCGTCAGAGAGAAAATTGAGAGAGCAAGTTCATCTAATAGTCTAGGAAATTTGACAGGTATTGATAATTGTCAGAGGAAAACCAGAAATAATTCTGCATTGGAGCTTGGAAAAAAGCTGTTATTATAGCATCAAGCCTCTTTATATGGGCTTCTGTTGGAGGGCTATTTAAATTATTCTAATTGAATTGAATTGAATTGAATAGCAAGCTTTATTTCAGCTTTTCAGCATTCTTGTTGAGGATTCAATTAAGAAAATATCTCAACACAAATTTGAGGCAAGAAAGATTGGAGATTTAGAACAAATAGAGGAGGATTAAAAATGCGGAATCCGCCCGGGACAAGGCAGGGAATCTCCAGTAAGACTACAAAAGAAAAAGAGATAAAATATATTTCAGTGATTTTCAAAAAAGTCCCAAAATACACAAGAAAGTTCAAAGAAGTATTTAGATAGAAAATTTCCTCTCAGCAAAACTCTGTACACGTGAAGATGCTCCGAGCAACAACTTTCAACAACTGGTAGTGATAAAGGGTTGATTTTGAGCTTTTATTGATTCTGTGATTTCTCCTTGATCCAGCAGGATGTGGATCAAGGACAGGGGTTGGCGCCAAGGCATCTGGTTGGCTTGACAAAGTTGAGTCAAAGACGTCTTGGCGCCAGTTTTTTGAAATTTTTGGAGAGGGTAAAAGTTTGTTAATGGATGTCTCTGGTGGTTTCTTCTTCTTGGGTGGTTTTTCCACTCTATTAATTTAGTATGTTTCTGCGTTGAATTTATCCGATTTATTCATTATTTTAATATGTGTCTAGAGGGTGCCCAACAATTCTCAAGGTTCAAGCAGTGTTCCCACACACAAACCCCCTCCCCTCCTCACCCAAATTCATCTAAACAATCCATCACATGAGAATGGAAAATAGAGAAATAAGCTGTACATGGATATCAAAAGAAAATACATTGCAAATTTTCAAATTGCACAACTGACATAAATACTGTATATACACCATCCCTGATAACAAAAACAAAATATTAATACTGAAATTTGTGGCATAATAAGGCAATTACTGATCCCAATTAAAAGGAGCACAATATTTTCAGCCTGTTCCCAGATAAGTTTCAATTGATTGAACAATTTGGAGAGAATTTAACAAATTGGAGAGTATTTAAATTAGATGAGGGATTTTTTAAATCATTCAATACTTTCTTTGATTTATTGATGCAATTATTGGCGTAATTGTTGCCACAGGAAAAGCAGTATATAGATCAAGCATATTTAATTTCATGACACCTTGAGCGTTTTCAAAATTTTCGAAATACAAGGATAACAAATTTGAAATCGCCTGTCCCCTTGCCATACGTCACAATTTCTTTATCTCCGCTACAATTTTTGAAGGCTAGGCCGCCTATACTTATTCACGAATAAATTAATAGGCCGCACTTTTTGCTGACTGCGGCCGGTCCTCGAATAACTCGAAGTAGATTTATGCTTCCCCAAAGTTTTCCGCGCAATTTGTGAGAAAGAACTTGGTCCAATAAGTCTAGTTAATACGGTAATATTTCCTCAGGTCGCTCATTGACGACTTGGAAACTTTAAAGTTGGCCTATTTTCCACGAATAATTATTCTCCGACAGTCGTTTGCCTCAAGCTGAAGGAAAATGAACAGATAGCATCAATGAAGGTATTTCCCGAGGAATGAAAAATTGATTTCCTTATTATTCAGGCGCATGCATTTGCACGTAAAGTGACAGTATTTCTTTGCCTTATTCTTCTGTGCCGTTTGTCTCCATGACAACTAGCAGGAATCGGAAGTCGCCGACGACGACCACACCTCCATAGTTGCCAAATGAGGAAATGGTATGAAAAATAGTGAGCTCAGCCACAATTGAGGAAACTTGCTGGCTCTTCTTTCCTTTTATTGTGCCTGACATGGAGCCAATTTATTCCTACAATTCCTTTTGTTGCCAACACGAGGAAGGACGAGAGAGAATAAGTTTCCTGCCTGCTGGGAAAGTGCAGTGAAGAATGCGTGGAGGCACAAAGCCTGAGGTACCCAGTATTTCCTTTAAAGAGTTTTTTTGTTGTTGTTGCTGTGGATGAAAGAGATGAGTGAACAAGGTTGGCACGGATGTGTAAGAGAATACATGTGGACTTTCTGCACAACTAAATTCAAGGGACTAAAAAATAGTTGTTTTAGAGAGAATTTGATTTTAGAGAACATACAGATATAAAGTAGGGAGATAATCCAATTCAATGGGACAACGAAAAAATTACACACAGCAAATAATTGTGGGGCAGTGTTTCCCAACCTTTTTGGGCCCACAGACCAGCAACTTTCCACAAAAAATTTTGCAGACTGGCAAATTTCCACAAACAATTATGCAGACTGGAAAATTTCCAAAAACATTTCTGCAGATCAGTAAGAGCTTATAATAACATTTTTGAAGATTCAAAAACGTTTTCTCAGAAAAATTTAATGGCAGTTAATTGAAAAGTTTCCTCTTTTGCAAAAACTAAGTCAAGGACCAATGAAGCAGCTAAAGTACATGGAATGCCTTCAAAATATTAGAACAGTAGGCTTGAAGAAAGCCATTTCATCAGAATGGAAGATTAATATAGCTTCTTTTAGCAGCTGAAGTTTTGTCTTGAGCATTATTATAGGAGAAAAGTCAACTATCAATTTTGATCAGAAATTTTCAAGTGCCATATTGTCTTTTCAAAAATTCAGATAAAGATAACAGACTTCATTGCTACTTCTGATGAATTTATTATCTAGAAAATTTCCTGCAGACTAGGAAAAAGATTCTGCAGACCTGCACTAGTCCATCATGGACTATGAGTTGGGGAAAACTATGGTAGACAAGATTGCTGTAGAGAAAGTGAACCTGTACCAACCACCAACGTTTTTGTTTTAATTTTCTCAGACCATTTCACAGCATGGATGTCGCTCAATTCCCTGATTCAAATGACGCATTAAGTATTATTATTATGCATTGTGGAGTATTCACAAGTATTTTGTGAACACATGAACTGCCCAGAGAAGTACTTGAGAGACCAGAGAAAATCAAAGTACTGTAATTTCCTCAGGGGGAAATTTTCCTCATTCCAAGAATCAACAAGGAGCTTCTATGCCAGTCAAAGAATACAAGAATACTTTTCAGAGCATTAGGAGGAGACTTCACAATTTCCAGCATGGTTTCTTGAAATTATTGTTGATTGTTATTTCATACTTGATCACAACTGCTTCCTTGAAAATTTCCCTTTTTCTTGGCAGAGCTGTAAGGACAATGTAAAAAATGCAGATAGGTAAAGTAGTTATACATTTTTTCTATGTAGGCGTCAAAATATTTACTGGCTACAGAAGGAAAAGCATTTCAAGCAAAACAGATCAATGCTTCTGGCTTTAGATGAAAAAAACAGCGCATGAGGTACTTTGATGAGGTCCAATAATGGAAGAACACTATTTCAAAATTTAAGCCTGAATGGATTATTTTAAATTTTTATAATCAAAGGAAGCAGTCAAAATACTGGAAGACCCCCTTTTTCTTGCAAAGCATGTAATAAATTATGCAAATCAGCCCCAGTCCTTTCTTTCAGGCTTCCTGTTGCTGGAGAAAGCTTGAGAAAAATGTATAATTCACCATGAGACTTTTATTACAAGAGCTATTTGCTTCCAGAAAAAAAGGTCTTCTTTTACCCCCCCCCCCTGTAGCTTTTTCCAAATGAATGAAACATTCATGCTTCCCAAAGGGCATCAAGGCAGAACCTTGAGACAGAAAAAAATGCGCATTGTTTGCCACAGGTGGAGGGAAAACATGTATAAAAAAATCAGCACACCTTATTTCCAGAGGGGACAGTTTTTCTGAAGCCTTATTATAGGAGGAAAGCCAAGTTTTCTTTTTCATAACATAATTTCAAATGTCATTGCCTTCTGAAATTTCAAAAAGAAATGACAGACGTCATGGCTGCTTATGATAAATGTATTATGCTGAAAAACATTTCCTGCAGACCAGCAAACAATGTATGCAGGCACTGGAACATTGATAATAGAAACTACCCATTGGGCATCAAGACAAAACCTTGATGAAAAAAGCATGAAAGATCCACATTTTTCCTCACAGGTGGGGGTGAGAAGAAGTATTTTTCTTATGCTCAGTTTCAAAACTCATCCTGGAAATATTGGAAAAGGGCAAGTTTTTCAATTAATGGAGCTATGAATGACATCTTCCATTTATCTTCAGGCCTCTTGCTGAGCACTATAGAAAGGGAACACACACCTGGCAGTGTAGTGTATGGTGCCATTCCCATAGATCCTTAGAGCAATGTGGACAGGTTCTGTAGGGTGCTTGAAGTCGCCATGCTTCAGGAAGTAAATGTCTGGAAGCCAGACATGCTGCTGGTGGTGAATTCCATTCAGGTACTTGTGACCTGTGGTCTCATTGTGGGCCAGTCTGGTGTCCATCCAGAACAAATGCAGTAGGAACTCCACCTCATATTTCTATCAATAAGACAAAAAGAAAAAAATAAAGGAAATGAGAGGAGACCATCCCATTTTTCCCCTCCAGGAAACATCAATCTCACTGATTAAAACAGGCAAGTTCTCATAAAAAGTCCTAAATGAATAATAACTGACACTAATTGAAAAGTAAATTGAATTATTTCCATTGATTTGCTAATAATTTACAAAATGATTCAAAAACCACATATAATAAATTACTTTAAATGCAGGATAATTTTAAAATCCCAAGGTCAGGTGAGTGACATAATTTCATGCGCTAATGAGAGTATTAACATCAGAATCAAAGCATGGGCAAAAAAGAAAATAGCCATGGTGAAGATTAGCCAAATAAAACACTGATAACTGAGAAAGCTGCTTCATTTAGTCTCAAACCAAAATTTCTCAATTTCTTGATCTTGCAAAGTATCTCAACTTTAAATAGCTTAAATTTCTGAATGAATGTGGAATTAAAAACACAGGAAAGCACATGAAACCACGTTTTATTTGGTTCACAATTTTCCACAGCATGTTTTACAGGTACAGTATTATAGGAACAGTTCATTTACCAGGAAGAGGAGATGAAAAAATAGGGTCCATATCTTTTTCCCTGAATAAGACAAACTACAGCATGTTCTAATGGGATATTTTTCAGGGAAATATTGAAAAAAATGTTGGGAATCTGTTTATTCCTTGAAAATTTATGTTTCTTTCCACCCCATGGTCACTTTTTCCTTTTTTTGAGCGTATGGTGCAATAATAGACTTCTCTTGGTCAATTTCTATCAAATCAAGAGTAAGTGCACTCTAAACATTAGAGACTTTTTGCATCAGCTTTATATAATGATGCATAAGCTTTCTATAACTTAGCCTCAGCACTGTCCATTTCACCTGCATCAAGTCTCTCTTCATTAATAGCTCTCTTCAGGTCATCTCAGAATCATCATTTACAGTAATCGTCATGTCTCAAGTCTTCTCGTGGCGATATATCGTAGAGAATAATAGGTTGAAGGTGATTTCAAGCTTCCTTGCTTTTACGACAAATGAAATTACTGTATATAGTGAAAGCAATATGTGGAGGAGAAATCAGCTGGGTAAAGTGGGGAGTTGCGCCTCCGTTCTTTTCACCCTTGTTCAGCAAAGCTGGGATATTTTTGCAAAATGATGTGCCACTGAGCACTAGCGATTCTAAAAATTATACTTTTGTACCACCACCAAAGTTGGAAAAAATCCAATACTTTTTGTGATCCCGCAGAACATTTTAAATAAAAAAAATCTAAAAAATCCCTCATTGGATGACATTTTTTCCTGCATTCCTGGCTTAGGATTTGAATGGGAGATTCCTGAAAACAATACAAAATTTGCCTCCTGGATTATTTGCAACTTCGGCCATCTCAACATAGGGAGGATTTAAGTGACCATAGATGGGCCAAATAACTGAAATTTATGCCCCACAAAAAAAAAATCCTGACTCCACTGCGCAATAAAAAGGAACCCTTTGCCATCTAAGGGTTGACTGTTGTTCATGAGTGCACCCAAAATTTGGCAAAAAATGTCAAACATTGCTGCAAAAGGGTTAAAAATTGAATTTAATTTCACCTAAATGAACAAAACGCAGCACAGTTGCCCAAAATATAAACTTTATTTTCCTTTTCCTTTCATTTTTATGCTGAGGAATCATTCATTTCCGCCTTAAAATATACATATTGTCATTCCAAATTCAGTCCAAAATATTCTGGGCCATACAAGGGTTCTAACAAAAGTTCTTGGAGTAGCAATGAAAACGGCCTACAATTGAGCTGGAAATATTTTTTTCTTTAGGGAAAACATATTCTTTGGCACACAAAAAAATATCAGCCCTGTTTGACAAAATTTTTTTGAATGAGAACTTTTGTTAGAACCCTCGTATATATCCAGTATATTTTCCAGCCATTGCCCAAGTGCCATATTCTCAATTCCGCTCAACATTTCCAGATTATTACCCCATGAATGCTTTAATCTCGCTTTCTCCTACCATATATATAGGCACAGACAAAGTTAGCAGACAACGTCATCATCCTTATTTCTTCATGAACTTCATGAAGAAATAATTCTTCAAGGGATGAGACAAGAGGCCTCCAGCAATAAAAAAGGGGTAAGTGATGAATTTTTGTCATCCCCCAGCAGCAGCAGCAGCACCCAACTTGGGCTTCAAGTCTCACTATCAAACAACCCCCTGGTTCGTGCCCGGGTTGCATAAAAGCCATTCGTTATTCTGGCAACACAAGTGAAGCAGCCCCCTCTTGTGAGTGTGTACATATACGCAGGACATTGTACATGTGGTGAAATTGCAATTTTCGTTGGGCAAACAGAAAAGGCGGAAGCAAGTGAAATGCGTTCCGTATGTTTATACATGGAATGGCTGCAGAGCACGAAAGAGGGAGCATCAGACGAGAATACTTCACAATTTCCGAATGCT